CGTCCTTGACGCTTTTACCGTCATCGATGCAATTGTAACTTTCTCCTCGACATGAAGGGCAAGCTATCTCTAGTCCATCGACATATTATCGCTGAACCTCATTCCTGCATTGTTGATGACAGCTTGAGAGACGAGGTCAACAGCGTCTCTCAGTACCCCGCCGATGATACAACAGTTGTTGACTGGTCAGAAACTAAGACCGCTCTACCCCAACTCTACTATTGCTAATCAACAATTTTGGCTCTCTGTGTCATCTTAGTGATCTCCACGCTGGTCTGGTCCAATGGCGACTGCGCTCTGATCCACCCGTCTGTGCGATTTATGTCCGTCAGTACGGCACTCGCATAATGGAGAAATGCACCATCCGTTCTCGAGACCAACTTTAATACCGTTGGATACACTTAAAACATATGTACTCGTCTTGGAAACTTCCTCTCGGAACTCGCACGTGATGAATTGGCCCGCCACGATGCGGCATGAGCTTCCTTCAACTCACGAGAATAGCATCGAGACACATGATCTTACCAATGTCCACCGCACAGTGCATCCGTACAATGGACGATGAGCTCTCGCAGGACACCGGTGGATTGCCAGGTGGCAAAAAATATTGAAGTTGCGGTCAGCGGAATCTCGCGCCACAGGCTTTCCAATTGACGGACCCCACATAGGTAATCCGGGAAGGATTGACAGGGCTCAAGACTTCTAGTGCCTTGCTAATGAGATCTTGCAAATTCGGGGTCTCTGGGCCGTTGTATACGTTGAATATCCACTGTGTGGTTGTACCCATTGCCCAGCGCTACGCACTGATCAAGTCGTCAATTGCAATTGGCTTTTGCTCCGGTTCACCGTCACGGATGGAGGCAAGCCTTAGCAGTGAAGGCCCAAAAAAGATCACTTTAAACGCCTTCCAGATTGTTGCCCAACTTCGTTAGTTTTTAGAGTTGACTCATTCTTCAACAGGAGTGGAGATGGCAGCGCTAGCTTGGCTTGAACTTGGTGTCCTGGGTGAACGTTAGCGAGTCTTAAGTCGTAATACCCTTCTTACGGCTACAAGACGTCAGGAACAGGAAACGATCATGCCACTACAGGTGAGAAAAGAGATGCCGTTTCGAAAACTTCCCAAAACCTACACTGGTTCCTACCACACGCAGAGGACACCTCTCGCCGGGTGATCATTCGACCGCCATTCTGCCGCCAGTATTCTCCAAGAAACAACTAGTCTCGAAAGCTCCTGCCAGCTCACTCTGCTTGGGCTGACAGGGCGAACGATCAGGTCAGGGTGGTGATGTTATGCGGCCAGAACCTGTCGCATTTCTTGGACGTGCATCCTGAAGTTGGGTTGAAAGGTCGTTCCATTGGCTAGTAACATAAACGGGCATCTTGAGCAAGCTAGAAACTGCAACAGCTTAACGGCAATATCAAGTTAAAAGCTACGGGAGTCTGACAGTTGGCCAACGGCAAGACCTTAATGCAGCCGGCTGTATTTGGGACAGAGTTGCTTCAGGACAAGACCATACTTCCATAATGCACTTGGACTGGATGTTCCAGGCTGTATACAAACTGAGATCGGTCGCTTAGACAGAGGTGCATGGCTGTTCCTATAGCTACGTCGCTTGATAGGGTCTCTTGTTTGATCTTAGAGGTCTTCGAGGCAGATGAATACCCAATCTACAAACAGAACGCATTTGCCCATCTTGGATTCGGGGCTTTCCCTTGACCATACCAGACTGGTGAACGCTCAACCTGGCCTCAGCCGAATTTTCCGCTTTTACCTGCCCACAGAGTAGCTAGACTCAAGATTGATCGACAAGCCATCGATGACGACTGTGAGAATGTCATCCACCCAGTCCTTAAAAGGCTGTTTATGGAGCGTTGGAAGGCGGCTGGTCCATTGGTCAATCCAAAGCCCATAAACCCTGTACTGCAAACTGCTGGTCAAGTCTTCTGTGCCCTTGTCTAGTCTGATGCGGTGGAATCCCTGCCGTATATCTAGCTAGTGAAGATTCTTGCTTGACTCTGCTTCAAGGTTTCGTCGATCAATGGCAAGGATAGCGGTCCTTCCGGTGATAGCGTTCAGTCTCCGAGAGGCAACGCAGAATCGTAGCCCTCCCCGGCGCTTTTCTACCATCATAATCGGGGACACGAATGGGGCACTCCTTGAGCGATGAATGGTTATCTAGATTCTCGGGTTTGTATACTTTAGCAGCCTCAAGTCCCTCAAATCATAAATGAATGAGCGATTTTCGCAAGACGGAAATGGTCCAGACTACTCTTTACTCTTAAAGTCAGCCGCGAACTCCTGTCTGCTAAGAGGACCCCTGGTCATTCCAGAAACTCCTCGCTATCGACGACTAACCCAAGGGAGCAATCAAGCTCATCCTATGTAAGCAGGGTGGCAAGAATGCGACTGAGGTCTTTCTCTTTCAATTCATCGGTCTGTATGCTTAGAGTGAGACTCTTATCATCACGGGACTTAGGTCTTCTGGGCTTTGAGTTCATGCTGCGCTCGTTGATTGTAGGCAATAATGTGAGTCTACTCACAGACAACAGCTTCGAGATATTAGTACTTTCGTTACTGGAAGTGCGCCAGTCACACCATAGGTCGATCTTCTCACCCTGCCCGTGGCATGGAGTATATTGGCGACGGCATATTGAAGCTGAAGTAATGGTGAAGGCAAAAGGTAGCGCCCGTCATGGGCTGCGAGATTAGCAATCACACTCGCTGGAAGATAAGTGAAAAGCACAATATGTGCCGTCTGCGAGTCCTCAGTCACTTCATTCGATCCTTTTCTTGACACGAGCCTTTAAAAGTCTGGCTGTCCACGAGGATAGTCTTAATGTCGAATATCATCTTACTCGGTATGATTCAAGGATCACATGAACTTCTCGGTTGAGCATGTCCACAGTGATTGTACTAACAGTCCATGCAGCGCGCCATACTTCGTATTGGGATTGACTTCAAGATCTCCTGGCTAGCAATTAGCCTCTGACTGAAGGAAATTGCGGGCTGCCTTGGACAACGAATTCAGCAAGTCCCTGGAAAGACTGTTGATTAAATGCCTAGAGCGAAGCATCATAGTCCAGAGTCGGTCAGGGACAGTACGTATTGTGCATATCTGACACAGTTGCGAAGGACTGTCCGCGGAATATGTTGTGCTACTTGATGGGGGCACTTGTCCTCCTCGCGCGCATAATTGTCTTTGGTATTGTACGACGGAAAGAAGTACTCATGAGCCGCTTCATTTACATCTGGTGCTCCTCAAGTTCTGGAGAATCTGGCACCGGCAACAGGGTTAGCTAAGTCCATGACATATCGTTCAAGATGTGGGATCTTACCTCGGGGTGCTGTAGGTTGACATTGTGGTAGCAGTATATCCCAAAGATACATTGCTCGGTGTATCGGGTGAGCAGTATCAATGGTCCAATCATCTTCCAGCGTGATAACGTGCGCATGCTTGTGGCTCTCTGGCAATTTGAGCTACGATTTGTTGCCAATGAGCAGTTAGGTGTTGTCAATCGGAGATGTCAGATCTCCAGACATGGAGCTCCCGGAGGTCAGGGTCTTGGAACACCATCACAGCACCTTTGGCTGTATCTTTCACATTGCCACTGGAGCTATCATAGATGATCTCCACGATGAATTCTTGAAAGGAGGGCTCTTAGCTTTTGGTACGGTGACCTGTAAGCTGATCCGACGCGAATATCCCGCACTGATAGCTGATTCGAGAATCAGGTGCTGCCTCGCTGTGGAAAGCATCGTAGCTCTTCTTGGCTGTCATGAAATCAGCACCGTATCTTGAATCGCGTTCTTCGAATGCCACATGGCAAGCTCCGCCGGCTTTCATTGCATGCTTGGGTTGGGTGCGGATCTCTGATCTGCTTTGGGCTTCAAGACTGAAAGGCCGAAGATCGCAACCAGGCTGGTGAGATGACGTGTCGCCTATCGTTAGCCATATGCTTACATGGTTACCCGTCGGCTCTTGAGTGAAGTTGTAGTATCCACGGTAGAAGGGCCTTATGAACTTTTATGCTAGTTACCCCTGTCGGCCTGCGGATTGTACGCGGGTCTCACATTCTTATTGAAGCCTCCTGATGAAACCATGCCAGAATTCAGCTGGTGCCGGGGAGGAACGCAAATATAAAAGGTTATACCATTGCTGGAAGAGGAGAGACGTGGATTTCCAGGGACCTTGGGGGAGGGAAGTGATATATATGCCTACGAAGAGTACCTCTTAGAACCGCGATAGATATCAAGAAGTGAATGAACAACAGCCAGTCTACAGTGAATATAGTCAAAGCAAGATGGAACAAGAGAATGTTAGCAAGTTGTTTGCCATGTAGAGCAGCAATTTTTGAATGACTCTACCAGCGTCAGTCTTTATCTGCCGTCGTCCCGATATACTTTCTGTTTCCCCACATGGCATGTCATTGGTATTCTCCGACTCCCACCATTCTCCCCGTCTCTCGGGCCATACCACTCCGGACTTTTTTGCTTTTGGACAAGCTGCCAATTAACACTGACTCGACATTGTTGCTTATAATGTTCTCGGCCTTTGACCGGCTCACTCACATATGTGGGACGCTGTGACTCACTCTACGGAGTAGATACGCCCTCCACATCGCTGCGCTGCAACTCATCGTCCATCCAATCCATGCCATGGCTCCAGCAGACCCCAGTGGGGGTGGACCGTGTCCATCGGGTCAGCTGGCTCAATGGACTAGACTCCATCGACTGAAAGAATTTTCTTACTTTCACTAGGTCCCTTGTTGCTTGGATGAGTGTGCATGAGGGTATATATCTCTGCTCTTGACGCGCTCTGCTAGATTGATTGCGCATCCAGCACCATCTCATTCATTCTCAGACAATGAATCTCATACAAAGGCCCCCGAGATATGTCCTCGCTAGTATCCTCTGCTCTTGCGGAGGGTTACTGTTTGGGTAAGGACGGCACCATGATACACCATGCTCCTCAGAAGACTGTATTGACAAGCTAAACAGGATGGACACTGGCGTCATTGGCCCTGTCACCGTCATGGACAGCTTCGTGTCGAAGTTTGGGAGTCAATCTGCAACCGTCCACGGATTAATAGTCTCATCCATCCTCATTCCAGCAGCTATATCGTCCTTCTTCGCAGGCTACTTGGCAGATAAGCTGGGCAGACCGACGGGAATCAGTATCGGGGCTTTGATTTTCGGTATCGGCGCTGCTATCGAAGGTGCAGCGGCCCAACTTGCCATGTTCATTGTCGGGAGGTGCATTGAGGGTATAGGCGAGGGCCTGTACCTGGGTACGCTGGTCGTGTACGTCAATTCCCTCACCACGAATGATCCACCGTCTTAACTCAATCGCATGAAACTGACTGAACCAGGTACATCTGCGAGATCTCTCCAACGAGCGTAAGAGGCGCATTAGCCACCGGGCCGCAATTGCTCATCACTCTTGGTCTAGTGATTGGCTTCTTCACCTGCTACGGAACCGCCCGTCTCGAGTCTTCCTTCTCGTGGCGCACACCGTACCTCATCCTCGCATGTCTCTCCGTCCTCTTCTCAGCCGCCTCATTCCTCTTCCTCGTCCCGTCCCCCCGCTGGCTGACACTCCACGGCCGCCACGAGGAGGCCGCAAGGACATGGGACCTCCTCGGCGTCGGCCAAGCTGAACGCGAGAAGGTGGAAGTTGAACAGACCCGACAAGCGAGAACCCAGATCCAGGTCCTCCCCGCCGGCCCAGCAACCACTCTAACCCCGGATCTTACCACACAAATCCCCACCCCGCCGCAACCACCCCTCAAACCAGCCAGCCACAAGCTCCTTGACATCTTCTCCAAGGACGTCCGCGCCCGCACCGCCCTCGCCGTCTTCCTCATGGGCTTCCAGCAGCTCTCCGGCATCGACGGCGTCCTCTACTACGCCCCGCTCCTCTTCGAACAAGCCGGCCTCACCTCCTCGACCGCCACTTTCTTCGCCTCGGGCGTCTCCGCCCTCGTCATCTTCGCCGTGACCATCCCAGGCCTCCTCTGGGCCGACCGCTGGGGCCGCAGACACAGCATCATCGCCGGCGGCATCGGCCTCAGCACAACCATGTTCCTCATCGGCGCCCTCTACGCCGCCGACGCCGTCCACCCATCCTCCGGCCCCGGCCGCTGGCTCGTCATCGTCGCCATCTACCTCTTCGCCGTCATCTTCTCCCTCACCTGGGCCATCGGCATCAAAGTCTACGCCGCGGAGATCCAGCCCCAGCGCACCCGCGCCTCGGCCACCGGTCTCGCGCACGGCAGCAACTGGGTCACTAATTTCCTGGTCGCGCTGACGACCCCCATCCTCCTGTCCAAGAGTAGTTTCGGCGCGTACTTTCTCTTCGGCGGGTGTACGCTGCTGACGGCGTTGGTTTGCGCTATCTTCATGCCGGAGACTAAGGGGAAGTCGCTTGATGAGATCGAGGAGGCGTTCAAGTCCAAGTCGCTGGGCTCGCATTTTGCAAAGGCCATCAGGCCCATCACCCGGTCATCGAATTGATGGCTCCTTTTGCGTCGGTTACACTCTAGAGGTCAGAAGGCCGAGGCATGGATACCCACGTATCGTACAACCTAAAATGCGAGGCTACTGTGAAGTATTGAAGATTGGCACAGGCTAATTCAATCAACAATTATTGAATTAAAATCTAGACTGGCTAATGACTAGGACATACGGGCACTCTCATCTCTTCTGGAGTCTTCCATCCTGTACACTCCACTCCATCTTCAGGTTCTAGATTATGTCGGGGCTCTGTGCACTAAATTGTGGATATGGCTAGGGACCGGCGGGAAATATACAAGGGTAGAGTCGGGTATGCATGCAAATCGAATAAAATTCTGGAAAGCTGGAGAATGTAGGAAAAGGGAGTAATGAGTGAAATGGACAATGTGCAGGAATGAAGGGCCATTAAGACTTGGAGGTCAAGAAATCCACCGCCTGAGATTAAAGAAGAGTCAATTCAGTCTCGTTTGCAACCTGAAATAGTCGTTGTACTCACCTTGTCAATGTTGTAGTCGAACTTCTCTAATGCAGCGAGCGATTCATCGCGGGGAAACCCCATACCCGTGAGCCGTTGAAGGATTTGGTCGTCTTCCACGGAGTCCGTCTGAAGGGCCCATCCGGGTGGTTTGCCATCCCCGGACGCTGCCGGTTGCGTTGCCCCATTGGTACCTGTGGAGGCGCCTTGAGCATTGTCCAGAGGCGCAAAGAGGGTCTCCCAGTCGTGCGCCGCCGGTTGTGAGTTGGAAGCTGCCGGTGATACGGCGGTATCATGATTTGAGGCGTTCACCTGCTGATCAAAGCTGAAGAAATCAGAGTGGTTGGCATGCTCAGGGCTGCCACTGGGTACTGCCATCTTCTGCTGTGAGGGCGCGTCGAAAGAGAAGTCGAAATCTGCAGTGTTTTTATTGTCAGACGGCTCGATCTCGGCGTCATCATCGTCTTCCGCTTCTTTCGCCGGGGCAAGCTCCATTCCAGCAAAAGCAGCCTCAAAATCGGGAGCACTGGGCTTGGTACCGGCCGAAGCAGGTGCAGCTGCGGGGACATCCCGCTGCGGCTCCCCGCCAACAACCGGGGCACCAGTGCCTGCTTCTACTGAATGAGGGGCATCCGGAGCGAGTGTGGGATCTTCACGGTTTGGCAAAAGGCCGTTGAATTCAGGTGGCATACCGCCAGACGCTTCCTTCTCTGCGCTCTCATCATATTTTGGTGGGCTTCTCTGGGCCTCGGCGGGAGGAGGCTGACTAGGAGTTACAGACCCTGGAGCAGGAAACGCTGCCAACTGAGATGGCTCAATCGGGTCCGTCTTAGACGTCTGCGGTTCTTGGGGTGGAACAGCCGGTGTGAAATTGTCATCAAAACCCAAGGGTGCCTCGCTATCAGAGCTGTCGTCGTCGTCATCGTCATCATCGTCGAGCTCACGGATCGGCGGGAACTCGGAGAACGCGGCAGGAGCTGTACCATTAGGCTTGGTTGCTCCAGCACCCTGTTTCATAGCAGCAAAAGCTTCTTCGAAATCATTCGCGTTCTGAGACTGTGACCTCTGATGTGCTGGACCGCCAAACAGCTCATCGAAGCTGGGGTCCTTTGCTGCCGTCTGGTTCTCGTTGGCGGTAGCCGAAGTGTCTGCTGTTGCCGTTTCCCCCGGCACGACTGGAACCTCGGGGAAGCGCTTCGACTCTTCAAACTCCTCGAAGGGAGATCGTACTTCGCCTTGTTCTGGAGTCGCAGAGGGAATTTCGGTGGCACCTGCTGGGGCTGGAGTCCCTACAGTTGACGACTCCGGACCACCAAATCTGCTACCTGGCGGAGATGGCTTGGTAGACGAGGTCACAGACTGTGTCTCGGCTAAGGGAAGAACGTTAGGGGTGAACTGCCGAGACTGCGGGGGTTCAGGCACGGTCCCAACCGAAGGTGGCGGTGATACGGAGGGGGTTGGTACCCCGGATGTAACAGGAGAGTGGAGCGAAGCCTGCCGAGAGTCGGCGCGGAATGAAGTGGGAGGCGGGGGTGTAGCAGTGGTCGGAGGAGCAAAGGCAGTGCCAAAGAGGCTGTCAAAAGCACGTTGCTGTTCGCTCGAAACCTGGGGGACCGCTGCCTGGCCGTCGCTGGATGCTGTGGCAGTCCGTCTGAAGAACGGGTTGTTGTTTTGACTGGCCGTGGACAGAGCAGGGCTGGCGAGCGCGGGGGCAGCGCTTGCAGATGCCGCGCTTTCGTCGGACCCTTGAGGTTGTTCCTTCGAGAGCGTGTCTATCTCCTCCTGGATTTTGTCGCGTTCACCTTCTACTGTAGCTAGTTGCTTCTTGTTAATCGCGACGAGGCCTTTTTGCTGCCGAGCGTCAGAGCGCGCTTTCTCAAGAGCAGGCTTAAGCTGGGCGACAGCAGCATTAGCTTGGCGGATTTTCTCTTTCAAGCTCGCATTCTCCTGCTGGTCGGCGGTCAAAGCAGCGGAGACTTGGTTATATTGAGTCTGCAAATCTTGCCTGCTGCCCTCGATCAACGCATATTCTTGTTGCAGCCTCTTGGTCTCCGCCTTGGAGGCGTTCAGTCGCTCCTCAAGAGCTTTGAAATTCTTGACCTCCTGTTCATACATCGCTCTGGCTTGCGCTAAGCGAGTCTCAAAGTCACGCTTTTGCTGAGATGTCTGAGACAGCTCGTGCTCCGCTGAAGTGCGCTTCGTCTGAACGTTTTGCATCTCCTTGGCGAGCGAGCCAATTTGGTTGGACAGATTTGCCAGCTCGGCCGTTTCTTGTGTGAGTTTATTGGACTCTTCAGGGTCGTTGTCACCTAGAAGGTCATCCGATGGAGGCGGTGGTGAACGGACTGTTGGGGGGGCACCGGCTGAAGCGCCAGTTATCTGAGGCTGGAGACTCTGACCAAATGAGGAAGTCGGAATGAAAGGCTTAAAAGTCGTCGAGTTGGCTGGAGGTGACGCTCTGGAGATGGGTGAACCCGGCGTCTGGAACGGCGTGTTGGAGCCTCCTGTGGACTGGGGTACTTGTGAAGGTGCTGCAGGTGCGGGCGGCGCAGAAAATGCATCAAGACCGAAGAGGTCATCCGCAGCAGACCGGACACTTGGGGGAGGCGGCGGCGCGGCAGGAGCTGCGACTGGGGCCGGCACTGCCTGCGCCGTGGTAGGACGCCGCATACTAGGAGGAATCAAAGCGGGAGGAAGCGTCTGCGGCAAGGGCTCCTTTCCTGTACGCTGTGAACGAACCAGATACATCGCTACCGCAAATTCGTCCTTCGTCAATTGACCGTCAGCGTCAATATCCGCGAGATCCCAAATCTGAGCTAGGACTTCTTCAGGCAATTGAGCTTTCACGAAGAATCCTACGGCCTGGTCACCAGTGATGACGCCCAACTTCGCAGTATCAATCGTTCCAAATATGGTATCGAACTGCGCCTTCTCTGCTGGCGTGATAAGCCAATCTCCGCCCGTTGACTGCGCAGTGAGCGGTGTTCCGAACTGGGACCTATTCAGAGGGCTTTGAGTCCGCTGGGGTCCGGTGAACTGTCGCGGAATGGCAGGGACTGGAGGAACGTCGAGGGCAGGTCGGGACCCCACGGAGGTTCGCACCGGGCCCCTTCGTGCTGCCGCCTCATACAAGCCAGGAGGTAAAGTCTGAGGGATGCCCCTCATGGCGCCCGACTTGTAGGAGGTCAAGAGGTGCATAGCGATGATGAATTCTGTGGCATCGAGGGCGCCTCTTTGCTTCGTGTCTGCTAGGTTCCAAATGCGGCCAAGGATCTCGTTTGGTAACCGTGCGCGTTCAAAGATCTGCTTGGCGATGTCGCCTGTAAGGCAAGCAATATTAGCCTCAAAGCTACAAATCTCCTCATTTTGCAGGATGCATGCCTGAGATAACCCCGCTCCTCGCCACATCAGACTTCTCAAATAGCGCTGTGAATTTATTGACGTCTTCCGGGTTGAGTGGAGGGACTCGAATTGGCCCACCAACTGGTGGTGGGCTGGTCGCGCCAGCGGAGCGAGAGGTGGGAGATGTAGGCTCAACAATGACGCCTTCAAACTTAGGTAGCGGCCCAGCTAGAGAGAGATTTCAACATCAGCGCTATTTCCCCTTCTCCCTTCCGTAGCCAAATGATCCTCAGGATGTACTCACGTTGCAGGGCCAGCTCCTCTGTAGGTGCGCGACCAGCCTGGGCGTGTCCAATGAGACGCAAAACAACACCAAAGCCAGATGGGGTCAAGAGCCCCCTGTTCTCCTTATCTGCGATCTGCCATATCTACACATTGTCGGTGACCAGTCAGCCAGACATGCGCCGGAAGACTCGTTCCATGGAAAACAACTCACCAGTCCGAGTGTCTCCGGTGCAAGCTTGGTCTTCTCGAAGAAAGGAACGGCAATCTCGCCGGTGATGACGCCGAGGTTGGTGGTATCAGCAGCCTGAAAGAGCTGGTAAAACACCCGTTTCTCTTCAGGTGTCAAATTGAGATTTGGATGGCGTTGTGCTAGATTATTGAGGCACTCCGTCAGTCCCATCGCGCTTGGAGAAGTTGCAGTTCGATCGGGGGGTCGGTTGCTCTCCTGAGGAGTTCGCCTAACCACAGCCTGGTCTACCATTGCTGGTGGGGACGCTTACCGCTGTCAGCCATGATAGTAGCTCAGGAGGAGTGCGCCTCCTCTTCCGTCGGCCAATTTTCGCGGATACTCGTTAAATTGTGGCGTGTGAGGTGGTGGAGCGGAATGCTGTGGACTAGAGTGAAGATGATGCCACGAGCATGGATCGTCAAATTGTAAGGGGAATGGGGGAACGGAGTAGACGGAATGACGAAGTGGAGGGGGAAGCGGACTTCTACAGACTGCTCGATTATAGTAAGAGAAAAAGATCTCGTGGAAAGTAGGAAGAGATGAGGGAATAATAGTCTCGAGGACAAGCAGGCAACCAAGAAATGGAGCTTCGGTCTTGGGAGGAGAGATGAGACTAAGGTACAGTAGTAAGGTTGAGTGGAGGTGAGGGAGGGAGGGATGATGTCCTTC